GGGGTTCTCCTGCGGGCGGGCGCCCGCGGCCTCCTGCCGCGAGCCGGTCAGGGTCTCACCGCCGTCCTTCTACCTCTAGGATCCGGAGAGCCCCCCCGCCCCCGCCCCGGGCTCTTGGGTTTCTCTAACACGTTTTCCGGCGCCCAGGTGCAGAGCGCACACGCAGGCCGAGGAGTGTGCAAGTCGCTGCACAGACCCCAGCGAGGGGTTGGACAGGGCGGGGCAGCGGGAGGAGGGCTAGGAGGGGTGACAAAGGCGGCTTTGTGGCTGCTGGACAGCACCGTAGAGAACCGCAGCGCTGAAGACTTGCGGTGCGGTTACGGCGCAGCCTCGGTCCGCGCCCGCCCCCGCCCCCCGGCTCTCGGGGCTGCTTCCGTGCAGCCGAGGCAAGATGGTGGCCCCGGGGGCCGCGCGAAGCCCCGCCCCTTCCGGCCCCCCCTGGGCTGAGGGGTCTGCGCCAGCTTCCGGGGTCGCTGGGTCTGCGGAAAGTGTGCGGTCTTCGCTGCTTATCACCCCGGGAGCTGGAGGGGCGGTTTTCACACCCAGGGCGTGCGGAGTAGGGGTTGTGTCAGTGTGCAGGGGTGAAATGGGGATGGAGGTCCTGCCGTGTCTTTCAGCAGGTGCTTATTTATAAGTGTGTGTATTTAGGATTTTGCCCGATTTACTCTGGCCCGAGTGCAGAGCGCATGGAGGAAAGCTGGAAGGTAGGCTGTGCCGGCCAGTTAGTGAAGGGCCATGAGGATGCCAGGAACAATGAAACTTATTCTGAACATGCTGGGGAAATACTACAGGGGGATTTAAGCAAGGGAGTGCCTAGACCCGTCTGTATTTCACAGGCTCCCTTGTGGCAGCGTGGGGGATGGACTGGAGCAGGGCTGACCAAAAGCTGGAATCCAGTTCAGAGTGTTATTACAGTGCAGAGCAGGACCTGGGTTTGGGCCTGTCGTGTTCGTTGGTGTATCCTCAGCTCCTAGAACAGTGCCAGCTACAATGAGGCACTCCATAAATATTGTAAAATAGATGATGAAGGGGTAAGGATAGCCGATTCTACAGGGATGAAAGGAAAATGATGAGATATCTTGAAGTACAGCTGGCAGAAATAGTGACTGTTTAGAGGAAAAGGGAGATTTTTTTAACCTAATCAAACTTAACTACTCCCATTTTTTCTTTTTGAATACCCTAC